TCCCTCTGACCCTCTTCCCTCTCGTGCTCTCTATCTCTCATTCTCTCTCTCAAATAAATAAAGAAAATCTTTAAAAAAAAAATAAATAATTTTTCCTTGACAATAAAGGTATTGTTTGGATTTTAAAAATTATCTAATTAGAATTTTTTTACACTCACTAAAGCTTACTACAAAAACTGAATCTTGGTACATATGTACTGCATCCAGAGGAAAAAGGTTAAATTACAAACAGGCAATATTATATTTGGTTTCTTGAATTTAAATAAGTTTGTACTCTTGAGAAGCTTACCTTAACTCCTGCACTTCCATTAGGCATCTTCTGCAGTTCATAAGGAAGCCTGATCCTTTCGGTTTGCACAATGGGATCATCAAATGATCGCCCGTGAAGCTTTTTGAAGCCATGAATTGTATTTCTTACATTCGTGACTATCTGTTGGCAGTAAACACTTACTTATCAATATTTAATGAATGCAAAATAAACACTATGCTAATACTTAAGACCACCAAGTCTCTTTATCCTACACATTTAAGTTTAGAATTACATACAATCATTTGTCTGGCTTCCAGCTGACAGTAAAATTATACAATAAGAATGTATGCATCTTATCTATTGCCCCCCAAATTCTCTTCCTATCCTAGGAACGTAGACTGAAAATTAATGTTTTCAAAAAAAGAACAAAAATGTAAAACTTTTCAATACAGTGAAAATCTATCTATAACTTACCTCTTTGTTTTTCCTCAACCTTTTGCTTTAGTGAATTAGGTTTGAGTTCTCTTCCTTCCACATTCATTACTGTGTTTTTACTGAAACACTTTTCCATATTGCCCCCCCTTCTTTCCTCTTACTATCTAGTTCTTTGTGAAACTTCTCATGAAGCAAGAATGCAATTCCTCACGGTTGAGAAGTGCTCCTAGGCTAGTAAATTTAAACTCCTTCTGTGTAGCATGATGCAAAAGTTAAAGTGTCTTAATTTGCAAATGGCTTGTATTTTAGCAAAGTAATTTTTTCTTTAACTAGAACATGTAGTTCACACTACAGAATAATACTGAGATCCAGCTGCTGCCCTCTTAGTTAAAGCCAAATAGATCTTGCTCTTCAATTATGAGATGAAAGCTACTGGGATGCTGAATTACCACAGTGGTCTCTTTAGGAGGAGTAATTTTAGTTTGCTTTCTTCAGAGACTCTGTTAGCTATGATACGGTTAGAAGATCACACAGAATATGAGATGTAAACTTTAGTGAAGAAGTCATTTTGGCACAAACACATTTGTTTATGTACAATATGAAAGTGTAGGAGAAGATAAACATTTTCATATATAGGCCAATTAAAAGACAACCTTGATAAGGTCTTAGGCAAAAATTCCTAGATAAATGAGTCAATTATCCTTATAAAGTCAGGAGGGGAAAAAAGCCCCATTAAACAAAGTTATTTTATGAGGAAAAGAAGACCCAAGTACACATTAAAATGTAAGAAGTAATTGTTAAGGGCTTTTGGTTCAGGGAAATAAAGTCTGAGGAAAATGAACCTCTAACAATGTTAAAAGTAAACGTCCTACTTATAAGCACTTCAGAAGCCTAGAAATATGAATACTTAAACAGATTCCATGTAAAGTAGCTACATTGGGTTACTCTGGAAATTAGTTCTTCCATCTTTCCCACCTTCTTTTACAAAGACATTGCTTACTTGTTGAAGTGTATACTCTAGATAGGATACCTCTTAGAAAAGTGACCATACAGGGGAAAAAGTGGTGTCATATGGTAGCAACACCCTACCTTCACAACTAAAAGGACTTTTTAAAAACTAAAACATAAGAAATATTTTGCAACCCCCAAAGCAAAATATATCTATTTAAATACAAAGATATATGGGTCTATCAAATCTCCCTCCTTCTCTTTTCTCACTCTTAACTATGTAAAGTGGGAGCTTAGTTACCAAGATTCCATTAAATTCTTCCTGTAAGTCAAAACATCTACATTAACAATTTACCTGGCTCTTAGCTGCATTTCCAATGGCTCGAGTTCTTGATCCCAAAGATATACAGGCCCTAAACAAGCGAAAAACACAAAGTTTGTTCCCATGGTATGTTTAAATTGATATGCCATCATTCTGCCTCTCCTTATGAAAAAAATGAATTAAATGGATTAACATAATCAGGTATATTCTAAAAATAGGTTAATGGACATCAGAACTTTGCATATTTTGGTTTCATAAGTAATGGAATAGTGGTGAGAATGTTAGAATTTTTAGAATAAATGTTGCTAATAGCTGACAATGCTCTGTTGGCCCCCAAAATTGTTTTTCAAATTCTACTGGTCTATGACCTACTAAAAAAATTGACTGTGTTCAGTAAGGCCAGGTTGCATGGATCTAAATCCAGGCTCTGTAATCTTGTAGAAATTACCTAACCATTATTTGTCTCAGTTTCCCATCCAGAAGATAGTGCTGATAATAATACCTACTCACAGGTTTGTGTGAGGATTAAATGAGTGAATATGGGTAAATGCTTTTGAACACTATGATTGCTCTTTTTTATTAGTGCATTTAGATGTAATTCTGCTTATAAAAGCAAGTGTGGAGCAACATTTTCATCAAAATATCATTTCATGTTATAATTTAAGAAAGTGTTTCCATGATTTTAGTTGTAACTACAGGTACCATTCATATCAACCCCTAACTATGAACACTGTGTGTATACTAGCTACAATCACTGTTGTTGGGGAATTTATAGTCTACAGAAAAAAAATCAACATATAGGACTATGACCATATGGACTATAATACTAGTGAAAAAGAATAATCACTTAGGAAAAGCAAGTGGAAGAGGTGATTTCTGAATTAAGATCTGAAAGAAGAGAAAAAATTTTAACACACGTCTGTTTTGTTCAAAAGGACATTCCCAGTATGTAGGGATATATCTATTCTCAATATGATAACCAGAGTGAACCTCTTCAAGACTAAGGTCATGAAATTCCCCCTCCAATGGTGTCTTGTCTCACAAAGCAAAAGCTTAAGTCTCCCCAACAGCCAATAAAACCCTTCGTGGTCTGGTGCTTGGCTGCTCTACCCTGTAACTTCAATCTAGGCACACTGGTCTCCTTGCTATTTCTAGAATAATGCAAGCACACTTCTTAGGGCCTTTGTACATGCTATTCTCTATCTCTGGAACACTACTAAATATATCCATCCACATGGCTTACACACCTCTCTCATTTTTTTTCATGTCTCTGCTCAAATGTCAGTTTATCATCAACACCTTTTCTCTCTTATATAAACATTTTCTGCTCCTTCCCAACATATACATCTCCTACTGTTTACCTAATTTCATTCTCCTGCATAATGTATCACCATCTGATACAATTTATTTACTGACTGTATCTCCACACCAGGGCATGTACTCCATGAGGGCAGATAACGTGTGCTCTATTCCCTTGATCTGCACTATCCAATATGGTAGCCACTAGCCACACGTGGCTAATAAAATTTAGCCAAATTAAGAAATTCAGTTCCTCAGAATTATTGACATTTTAAGTGCTCAAGAGCCAACTTTCAAGGGCTTAACAGCTGTATGTGGCCAGTGAGTATACAGAGGACAGAATATACACAGAACAGGGGCACCTGGGTGGCTCAGTCTCTGTTAAGTGTCTGCCTTTGGCTCAGGTCATGATCCCAAGGTCCTGGGATTGAGCCCCGCATCGGGCTCCCTGCTCAGCAGGAAGCCTGCTTCTCCCTCTCCCACTCCCCTTGTGTTCCCTCTCTCGCTCTCTGTCAAATAAATAAAATCTTAAAAAAATATATACACAGAAGAGATATACAGAATAGAAAGTTCTACTGGACAGTACTGGCCTAGATCATTATCTGGTAATATAGTAAAAGTACTTATTGAATGAATAGAAAGATGGCTCCTAAGGGTAATGCTTATTTGGAGAGTAGGAAGAATACAACTTGGCTAGTTCCATTTGACATTTTGATAGTACTGGGGTCAGATTATACAGAGCCTCAAATGACAGGTTATAAATTTAACATTTATTTCAGTAGGTAAAGGGAACTCATTAAAGGCTTTTGGATAAAGAAGAGGACATTCCATGCTTATATAGATGAACTGAAGAGGAAAGATCCCAGAACAATGCCCCCACCCCCGCTTTTTTTAGTAGGCTCCATACCCAGCATGGAGCCCAACATGGGGTCTTAACTCAAAACCTGAAGATCAAGACCTGAGCTGAGATCAAGAGTCTGACGCTTAACTGACTGAACCAATCCAGGTGCCTCCCCCCCACCCCCTGCTGTCCCCAGAACAGTGCTTTTTAAGGGTTGAACAAGACACTTTTATACTGGGGGCCACAGCATTTTCAGGAAGGGCAAGCAGTTAAATTCATTTAGTTAACAGATTTTGGTTGAGTAATTTATGTCTGGCACTCTGTTAGTTACTAGAGATACAGTGAGGGGAAAAAGACATGGTTTTGGCTCTCTTGGAACTTACAGTGCTCACACAAATGAAAGTAAACTAGGTGCTACAATAGAGAGTATACCTGATGCTAGATGAGTAAATAACAGAACTGACCTAGAGGAGGATTAGGAAAGGCTCACCCGAGGAAGTGATGAGATTTTAAGGAAGAGTAAATGATGATGGGGGTGGAATTAAAGGAGATTTGGCAGAGATCATTTTGACCAGTGTGAACTGATGGGAGGAAGGCTAGAACTTATCAGTAATCTGTATCAGGATGATGGCAGCTGAGAGGGGAAGAAGGAATTAAGAGATATTTAGGAGGTACGACTCAAAGCACTTAGTGACAGACTGGATCTTCACTGTCTAATATGGTAGCCACCAGCCATATGTGATGATCAAGCACATGAAATGTGGCTAGTATGAATTGAGATGTATTCATTTTAAGTGTGAAACATACTCTGGACTTTGAAAATTTAATATTTAAAAAGGAATATAAAATATCTCACTGATTTTAAAATATGGAAATAAGATTTTGGATATGTTGAGTTAAATCAAATATATAAAATTAATTTCACCTGTTTCTTATCTTTTTGGTGTAACTACTAGAACGTTTATGCATGTTGCTAACATATTTTTACTGAATAGGGCTGGAATAGATAAAAGGAAGAGGCAAGTATCACGACTAATGTCTAGGTTTTCCATTTGCATAAGAGGGTAGAGTGGTGTCATTTAATGAGACAGAAAACACTGTAAGAGGGACAGGTTTGAGGATGGACCATGGCAGTGCTAATCTGGACATGCTGAGACTGAGGTATGTTTGAGACATCCAAGCAGATGATCTCTTCCAAATAACTCCTTGATGCAACATAGTCCCTGCCAGAGTAGAGTATTTGCATACCTAATATGGTTATCTATGTGGATGGTTGGCATTCCATCCTAAAGTTCATCAGAGAAAATATAGATTTGCCATCTCTTAGCCTACTTTATTATAATCTGTCCTTTTCTCAACTCCATTATTTGGACACACATAAGAATACTTTTAATTTTTTCATACTAGGCTACCATCACTTCAGTACATAGATAATCTTATTCTTACGTTGATTCTCAAGAAGTTCACTTCTCTTAGAACACTGGGGCCAAATAATATTGATTCAAGTATCAATTATTAAGTACTAGATTCTTTGAAACATGCTGCACACATATATCACTTCACAGAGAAAGCTAAACAGTTAGCATTATTAGATAATTCTCTAAAGTTAAAAGTAGGCAACTTTTAAAGTTTAAACAATTTAGTGTTAGAGCTTGGAAATACCCAGTTTCAATACACAGAAAACCTTCCTCACATGGCTAAAAAAGTGCTTCAAACTCCTTCAGTTTTCTTTCAAAAAGATTCTGGAATGCAACCATTAAATGAATACTTGCTAAGTATTTTCAGAAAAATCAAAATACCTAGCATCTCTCAAAACTTTTACCTGACTTTACTAACACCAAGGGAAATAAACACATTATACCATACTTTAGAGGCTGACACAAAAAAGTTTTTATAGAAAGGATATTCAGTAGTTTACCCAAATGTATATTGCATAATCCATTGATATTATGCTTTCTATACTTTATTTCAGCTGCTATTTAGAAATTCCATCTTATACCTAAAAACAAACAAAGGGTTTACAATGCAGCTTAAATCTATAATTTCCAATCTGATATTGCCACCACAGTGGTAATCCCAGATTCTCAGAGAATGCCACTAAATTCTAAACAAAACTTCTAAATGTCCTATGTCACTTTTGGCAGAGGAGGGGCATGAAAATCAAATGTCAGGTGTTAATTTAAGAAAGCTGTATTTTGGGGCATCTGGGTGGCTCAGTCTGTTAAGCATCCAACTCAGGTCGTAATCTCACGGTTGTGAAATCAAGCACCATGTTGGGCTCCACCCTCAGTGGAGAGTCTGCTTGAGATTCTCTCTCTCCCTCTACCTCTGACCCCCACCCCCACATGCACTCTATCTCAGATAGATAAATCTTAAAAAAAAAAGCTGTATTTGTATTTTCCCTTAAAACTTAAGATTAATTTTCTTTCTCTCTTATAATGCCTATTAAGGCCAAGCACGACCAGGCTGGAGAAAACACATACTGCCAAAAGACTATGAGATTCCTCACCTAAGAGAGGTCAGTACTCTTTAATTTGCTCACTTTGTCAGTCTCCACTAAGGATTCAAAGACTCTTGATTTTACCACTTTCATTTTAAAAATAACCCTATTTTAAAAATTGTCAGCTTTCCCTTGCCAGTTTCCATAAGATCACAATTACTACTTATAGCCTCTTCTGTTATCAACTACATATTAAGAAAACAATAACTGAATGAATGATGATATGAAAGGGCCATCAATTGGTTTAAATCAGGGGGTCAACTCCTGAGATGCCAGAAGCACTCCCCCTCAACACCTCACACCAAGAGTGTCAACCAAAAATGTATCTTCAGATAATTGTCAGATGTGCCCTAATGGGCAAAATTTCCAACTGAGAACCACTGCCTTATAGCACCATTTTCCAAATACTGTTCTGTGGAATATAATTCCCTTGGAGGTTCAAATAAGTTGG